CAAAGTTATCAAGGAATAGCTTTTTTCTGACTGCTTGATGTACTGTATGAGCACTACCTTTTTGGGATACATCACAAAGTGAAATCAAACCAAGAATTTACCTCATTTTATCTTGCGAAGTCACACTACAGATCCATTAAAAACCAGTCCAGATTGTTATAGTCGGACAAGCATCAGCTTTTCCTTTCATTTCTATTGTCTTTGTCCATATGAAGGCAAGATAATTAGCTTAAGTTCTACTTCACATTGCAAATGAACCATACAGTGGGGTGAATCACACTACCTGGCCTGGAGAAGGAACATAAGAGAAGTGTTTTATGTGAAATGAATCCAAGTTGTCTTAATTGGTTTGCTAGAAGAACCTTATCACGAGACTTCTTTGCAGAACAGACAGAATTGCATTATCTAAAACCCACCCGAGCATTCCATACCATTTCTTGTCGTCTTGGCTAATTGATGCATCTTCATTCAATTCACCGCTATACACCATTCATCAATGATGACGATCGTCTTAGCTTGGAGCGCAGTGAGAGAGGGTATTTGATTGTATTATGAGATCAAATGCTAAAATCGCATAAAAACAACAGGGATGAAGTGATCAAGAAGGAGATTATGCGAAGCAAAGTTGGGTTCCGATGAATATCTTATTTCACAATTGTTAAGCTTAATTGCATTTCGAGTGAAAGTGTTGGGTGAAGAGATTCGAAGGTCGATCTCATCAGAAGACGACGGCGGATTCCTCTTGACCAGCTGTTGATTGGCTATTTTCGAGGCGATCGGCTTCAATTTCTGCAAACACGTATTAAGCTTTCGCCCGTTGTATGTCGGACATCATCAGAGCAGGGTATCATTCTTACAACAACATTCAAGCTAACATGCCAAGGAAACTCGATGCACTATATAATCCAAAAGTATGTCTTGTCTAGCCATCTTAAATCGCTGAAGCTCAAGATTAGAAACCCACTTCGTCTCAAAAGGATAGCTCACATTAACTACAAGAATGTTCCTTGTGGAATCGACCTTCGGAGCTCTTAACCAAACCCTTTCACTCGAAATGGAAGCAGGCAGAACAATTATGAAACAAGAGATTCCTCGAAACCCAACTTTTTTCGCAACAACAAATCATCGGTAGTCGACGTCGCCGGCAAAGTGAACCTTTTTATTGTCCTCATTTCCCAATATTTTTTTTTTCACCCATATTGCTTGGCCCAAAAAAGACGGAACCTGTGGAAGCGATGGTCGGCTTCCGTTTGCTCAACCACCATCTGGCCAAACGCCTCTGGAAGGCTGCGATTGAACACCACGCCTTCTTCCGCCTGAAAGAGCCCCGGCTGCCCAAGAGGTCGGCCGCCACAGTTCTGATGTCCGGCAACATGGGTTCTAAGCACCGATACACCGGGCTCACATTCTTCCAATACCGCACGATGAATATAGACCGTCAGAAGCCGAGCTTTGACCGAACCCTCAGCAAAGCGAAAACAGCCAGTATGCCGTCAGGACTGAATCGAGGTGAGAGCTTAATTTTTTTTAAGTGGCTTGACCTCGTTGTTGCAACTTGGTCTTGTTGTCAGGGCGACTATGTAGAACGCACCTAGTCCGAAGTCGTCTGCCATAGTAGTTGTTATGTTCCCAGCATCAGACGGTGGACTTGATACATTCTCAAACAATTCTCTGGCATCATAGTCGGCATCATCAATGAGTTTTGCCAGTCTCCGCAACAAGTTACGAACACGTCAGAGACAAGTGAAGTCAATCCCTCGGCAGACGTTTTGCCGAAAACGGTTACACTATCACTCCTCTTTCTGCCATTGCCTATCTATCTACTCTTTACACTCTTATCCTACTGCCGCCCTATCACAACTTCTCACTTGTTTACATTCGAATCGTCAAAATGTGTGCCCATTTGTGAGAATGTATCAAGTCCACTATCAGATGCTGGGAATTATGACAACTACTA